TACCCCTGAAATTTCCGAAAACATTATGGAAAATTACCAAATTTGAACGCTGTTGATCAAGAAAATCGAGTCTTTTTTTTTTGAAAAATTGGCGGGCTGCCGCTTTTCAGTTTCAGGTATCGAGCTCAAATGCTCAGTGACACTGAAAATCATGATTGTTTAGGTTCACCTTCCACAAAATGTCTGTTTAGAATATATATTGCATTAAAAAGATTGCACGATTTTATCAAATCAGATTAGCACATAAGGACGTCGCTGAATAGCAGTACTTTCCAAAAATATTCCTAAAATCGGAGAAAATACTGCATTTTTTCCATTTTCTAGGATGTTCCGCATATTGCTGCGTATTATCGCGCGCGCGACGTGCGGCGAAACTACTTCGGTTTTGAAAATCGCTTGATTTCAGGAGTAGAGAAGACTACATTCTACAGTTATAGCATAAATTTGGAGAAGACATATCCTTCTATCTCCATATATAACCTTTTCTCAAAAAAAATCTGCAGAACGAGAACGTTCTTGAGGTGGAACGAAAATAACGCAATTTCGCGTTCTGTTCCTTCTTTTTTAACGAAGTTACGGCGGGTATCGTATGTAGGCGAAAAAAACGAGGTCGCTCTATTTTCAGGACACCGAAAAGGTCAACGAGGAAGCCCATATAATCGCAGATGTAGAATAATAGACGTACTATTATATAAAAAGCACATCTCGAAAACCTCATTCTAAAAAAGTTATAAGAAAATCCCGCAATTTTAGCAGAATTCTGTACTCACTCTAAAAAGGAACTCATGCTAGACTCGAGCCATCGACCTGGTTTTTGGCAAACAGACTCTCTACCTCTGAATAATAAGGTCTTAAATTTAAAATTACGACAACAATATATGGCCGCAAATTACTGTTTAAATAAACTGAAATTTAACTCTTTCAAGTTTTTGGAGACCTAAATTATTCGATTATTTTAATGTTTGACGAGACTACGTCGAGCCCAAATGTGTACGGCTGTTTATATTTGAAAGCTTAGAAACACTAGGTTTACAGCGAATCCTTTTGCTGTGTATATGATGGCTAAGTTTCAGCATGCCAATTTGCTGTCTCATGGTACTGATAATTCTGGGCTGCACCTAGAACACCTTTCACTCGTGAAAACAGTAGAGGAGCTAGAACCTACAATAGGCTGGGAGAAGAAAGTTTATGTTAGAAAAGAACGCGCTCTATCTAAATGCAGGTTGTTTCCTGCTAAGCCTCTAAAAAGTCTGAAGAACTGACTTACAGCAATGAAATCGAACGCCATTTGTGTAGGCCATTCTGCAGTACTGGTCCTACTATACCAGTTGTCCACCCTAGGTTTTTTCCGCAATTTTAAAAGCTCCCAAAAATTTTTATTTTGGTTTTTTGCATCGCCAACGCTTCCACGAGGGATCGCAAGTTGAGCCAACTTTTGACTTTCACTGGATTCTAGGTCATCAATAGTAGACTGACTGTGAGTCACATATCGATTCCTGCTGGAAGGCAGGTACCTCAGTTAAAGGCAGCACCCACGCTAAAAAATCATATCCTTTTTCCAGCAAGGTGCAGTCGGACCCACTGGACACGATGCAATACTTTAGAGGTTATAAAAACTGTGGAACCGTGATCTCGCATGAAGACGAGTCGTCCGATCCTCGCGCTCTTCGTAGTTCGTGGAACACTCGAATGTGGAGTTACTGCATAGAGAGACGCCACTGCAGCTCATATTCATTGTTTCCGTATCCGCTCGTTGAACAAATTCTGAGTTTTTGCTGTTTGTGTAAGTTTGCCTGGGGACTTTTGTAATCGTGGTCTCTGACATCAAAATCCCTACTAGATGTTTTCCTTGTGCTCCGGATAATTGATGGTGATTGTTTTTGAGTAGCTGAAAGTTCATTCTGTAAAATCCGCCTTGTCATGCTCTTCCTTCTGACGGGACAACTCGTTCGCTTTTCTTCAAAGTTTTATCAACTTGAACAATTATGTTTTCGGCATTTTTTTCAGTGAACTGTAAATTTTGTGCTCTCTTATCCTATCTCTGGGCAAAGCCTATGGAAGATATTCTAAAAATACAAAAACCTCAAAATTCGTTCTGTTTCCGTCCGTGCTGCCTTAAACCGGATATTCAGTCATTCAGTTTAAATGCATTGGAAATACGGTAAGTTACACAACTTGTACTATAGGGATTCTATAGAAGGAGATTATGCTCTTAAGTTACTGCCGAATGGAGTCTATCTAATAATTCACAGCACAGGAAAGAGCTAAACGTCTTTTCGATTTGACCATTAGTGCTAGAAAGCTATACGAAAACTGCCGAAAAGTCTACTTCCTGCTCCACACGAATTTTGCTCTGTCTTTTAAGGCATAGCAAAAAGTCA